AGATAGGTGGCGGATAGAGTCACGTCTTCGTATTGAAAGACGAGTATCGAGACCACCCACACTACAGTGAATATCCCAACACTCGGAGAGGAAGAAGTCTACACTCAATCCTCTCTCTTTAGTTCAATACAAAGAGAATCGATTTATTTATTGTAAGTGTTTTGAAAATGAACTCGGTACGGGGCCGAGGTTTTTTAGGAGAAAAAGGTGTGGATGAAAACGTCTTCGTATTGAAAGACGAGTATCAAAACCACCCACACTACAGTGAGCATCTCGACACTCGGAGAGGAAGAAGTCTACACTCAATCCCCTCTCTTTAGTTCAATACAAAGTGAACTTTATCCTTTTGTTAAATATGGTGAGTTGGTTTAACCATTATTTGAGAAAATCCGCTTGACGTTGGGTCAAGGGTTTTAGTTGCTTAAAAATATTTGAGGTGAAGCGAGCAAGGTCGATGGCGACGCACAAGGCAATCGGCTTACAAGGTCAAAAATGGCTCGATGAGAATCGAGAGTTTGTTTTCTTGAAAATAGTTTTTAGGACCAAAGGTTAAAAAAAAATGACCAACAATAAACATGCATAAAAACCATACCAACACAATGGGTTAATCGGCTAAAAAAAAACAAAACACAAAAAAAACGACGAACTCCTTGAGAAAATTTTTTTTGAGGTAAAAAGGTCGAAAAAACGTGAAAAACAGGGGTCTGACACGGGCGGCCATGTCGTGTGACACGGGTGGCCGTGTCGTGCGACACGGCCCGTGTCACAGTTTCAGGAAAAAATGAGTTTTGAGTCAAACAACGGTGTGACACGGCCGCCCGTGTTGCATGACACGGCCCATGTCACAAGGTGTGGGGGAAAAATGCAGAAAAACTTAAACAGCGGTGTGACACGGCCGCCTATGTTACATGACACGGCCCGTGTCACAAGGTCTGGGCCAAAAAGTTAAACAGAGGTGTGACACGGCCGCCCGTGTTGCATGATACGGCCCGCGTCACAAGGTTTGGACCAAGAAACGTTAAGCAGTGGCGTGATACGGCCGCCCGTGTTGCATGACACGGCCCGTGTCAGCCCTGCTGTGTAAAATCTGACTTTTTTCTTTGTTTTTCCTTCCTTCTTGGGTTTTTTTTCAAAAGGTTTCTTGGTCCCCCTTGGGATCTTACATGTTATACTCAATACAACAACTCTCAAACAAAGAGAATAAATGACAAATGCACAATATAAAAGAAGAAAAGAGTTTTAAGAAATGGATACCCAAGAGTTGTTACCCTCCTTGCAAAGCCTCCACTGCTTTTGGCTAGGTGTTCACTTCCCTTCACTCTATGCTTTGATGGCTCTCCTTCTCAATGACTCCCTTGTATTTCTCTTTTACTTTCTTAATCTTTGCATGGTTTTTACTCTCTCTATTTTTTCTGGTTTTCTAGGGTTTATTTCCTCTCAATCTCTCTATCTCCAAAATGTGTTATGAATGATAGTGAATGATCTATATCCTTTTTGCAGCCTCCTATCCCCTCCCATTTCAACTTTTCTGCTGCATTTTCTGTTGTACCAAAATCATAGCTCTTGCACAACTTTCAATCTTCAAAGTTTCCATTTTTGGGAGTACTTATCACCTCTTTCTTGGTGCAGCCCCACATCTTTCCATTTCTAGGCCTATTTTGCTGTATTTTTTCTGCAGCACTCTACCTTGCCCTTCATCCTTGTATCCATTGGTTGACTTATGCTTGGACACACACATGTAACCAATAACACTACCTTTTGGACATCATTTTCAAATTCTGATTTTTGATGTGTAGATGTATCAACATAAGCTTATAGCCTTGGTTTTGTGACATAAAATGATTTTGTAATATGATACACATTGCCACTTCTTGCATGGGGCTGTTTTGGACCATATTCAAATTGCTCATGAATGTATGCATAGCCTTGATCTTGAGATATTCCAATGTTGAATTAACTCTTAAGTAATTTCCTTGCATGTTTGTAAGCACAAAGAGGACCATGTGGACTTGATGGGGCATGGGGGATACCATGGCATGAAGTTATTTTTAGAAACTTGAATTAAGACTAGAAATAGCTTAATTTCCTAAACATTACCAAGAGTTTGGATTTTGTAACAAATGTGACATTCTTGCAAATGTCATGAAATTTCTCTTTGTAATATTCTTGAATCTAGCCTCGAATTCATGAACCTTGAATTTGGAATGATGGGCCTCCCCTATGTCATTGAATTTGAAAGAAATGAAGAAATGAGTCAAGCCTTGAAAGAAGGCAAATTTTGGGGTGCAACACTCATGCCTACCTCCACGTAGGAATCCTTATGGGCCTAATCACTCAGCCCATTACGGAGACCGTTGACCCAACATTGCGAGCTCTCTATAAATATCCTCCTCTATAAGAGGGTCAGATATTCTATTCTATTCTACTTTATACTCTCTTGCTACCTCTTCACTCGACTGACTTAAGTATCAGAGTGTCTGCAAGTACACCCCCTCCTCCACTCTTGCTGATCGTTGCCGCCACAAGTACACCCCCTCCTCCATTCATTATATATATATATATATATATATATATATATATATATATATATATATATATATATATATATATATATATATATATATATATATATATATATATATATATATATATATATATATATATATATATATATATATATATATATATATATATATATATATATATATATTATTTTTTAAAACATATCTATTTTCATATTCATCACATAAAACATATGGCACATTGTGTAGTAATTCTTTTTCTATAATAAATTTTTTTCTAAGAGTCTTAAAAATATTAATATATATAAATATTTGTTTATCATTCATTATAAATATTAATATATATATAAATATTTGTTTATCATTCATTTTATAGAAAAATATACTTTTAAACAATATGATAGATTTTGCCCTATCGATTCCCTTCCTTTCATTTCCTCTCCACGCAAACACTTGAAAATATTTATGAGATAGTCCCTTTTTCTTTTGAATTTATAAATTTCTCCTTAGATTCCATTCGAACTTCATGAAATATTCCCGCTATTGCTATCAGTGCCAAATCTCAAAACTCTCTAACGAGCACCAACTTTCATCACGAAAATCCTTAATCTCTCATACCATATGCTGCAACACTATCAAACCACCGTCGCGAGTCCACTCGCGAGCAACCTCCAACAGAGAGTTTTTCAAACAATCCACTTTTGAACATTTACATTGCATTTCTAAGCTAGGGTTTCACTTCTCATTTGTGTTTATTTTTGTTTCAGGTATACCTATTGTTTCATGAGGTTGGAGTTGCTGATGGAATCTCTGGGTGCAATAAGGAGAATGGAGATTGATATTGGGAGAGAAGACACCATTTCAGGTATTTCAATTTTCTCATATCTCAACCATTTGATTTTATTTTTAAAATATAGCTTCTAACAGAAGTTAAAAAAATCATGTTTGATTGGATGATGGTTTGCATAAGGAGGGTTGGACAAACTATGAGCATGATTATTAGATGCAGTGTGACAGATGATTCTACTAATAAATGGATTTATTTGGACAGAAAGGTTTTCATTCATTATGTGTTTGTTTGGATTTCATTAGTTTTTGTTACAACACGATCAATCTTTGTAAACGCAGTTCACTCAATAATGTCTACGTTTGCTACTATAGAGAAACTATAGTTACTTTTCATTTTTGAGATTAATTAGGACTATAGCATTACAAACAATATATATAATACTACTACTCAATTTACAATAATACTCTTGAAATGGTTTTCTTATTTACAACAATAACAACAATCAAGTCTTATCCCACTGAGTGGTTTTGCTATTTGTTTTTATTTTTGTCATGATTAGAAAGAGCTTTTTTCATGAAAGACATGTGATTGACTTTCATTTATTTGCTAATTGATAGTGTTGAAGTTGCGCGTGTAATAAATTTCTAAGAGTGAAAGATTGTGTAGTATGAGCCTTGTTTACACATACAGATCATGTACTATGTATCTCACTGACTGATATTTTTGATTAGCAGGGTTCTAATATTTTTGTTGTGTGTACTAGCATATGTTTATTTGTTTTGCAAGTTGTTTTTCCTTAGGGATATGCATATAATACAATTAAGTCTAAGATGAAGCTCTTGTGTGTGATTGGTGCAATATTTCTGTAATACCATTATGACATAGTTCCTTCTTTTGTTTAGTAAAAAAATCATTATTTGTATCTTTTTTTTTTCCCTTTGCTTGAATGAATGATTGTATTGGAGTATTGATCATATATTGATTGAGCCTAATTTGCAATTATGCTAAGTAGTTGCTGCCTGAAGGCTAGAGGCATCAATAGCAGTTTCTTCAATTGTTTGATTCCAACACGAATTACAGGACAAAGTAGAAAATATTTCAAGTATGGTTTCTCGATATTATATCCATACAAAGCTATTAAGTATATTTTTCTAAAATAGCAATTTTCTAAATTTAGGTTGAATCAATTTATTTATTCAACAATAATAGAAAGAAAAGAAAACTTCAGCTAACAGTTATTTCTTCTTAAAATTTTTTTTAAAAAAAAAATCTGATGTTTAGAAGAAATAACAGTTACATTGGATAAAAACTCCATACTTGGAATATTTGACCAACCGTGTCTTTGACATTACCTATTTCCTACTATTGTATGAGTGGCTAATACTTTAGTGTCCACCTTGTAATATAAACATATAACAACTCATGTTTTTGACAAAAATATCAAACGCATGTCTATTATAGCTTTTTTACCCCTGTGTGTATTGATTTTCAACCTTTTCCTTTTTACTTTTTTATATAATAAACCCTTTGTTTTCTCTATTTTTTCCCTTTTTACTGGGGCTTAATTTTTTGTTCCCCGGTGTGTTTGTGTTCGTGTTTACTGCAAACACGAATACAAACACGAACACAAGAGGAAATTAACCACATTAGTTATTCATCAATAATTGGTTTTGATATTATATCAATTAATGGAGGAGACTGCAAGAGGCAACGGAACCGTCTCAATTTCTTATGATTCTGAGGGAATGGTTGAAATTTGTGTAAAAAATGATAGAAACGTTGGCTCTTATGGCGTTTTTATTGGAGATAATCCATTAGATTTTGCTCTTCCGGCAACATTGTTCCAAATCATTGTTATTATCACACTTTCTCAATCTCTTCACTTTCTCCTCCGGCCATTGCAAACACCCAAATTCATCTGCAGCGTTCTCGTAAGTTCTAACAAACTCATTCTCCTCCATCCATTTCATCAATGCTTTTCCTGTTCCATTTTCTCCTTTCTAGTTTTATCTTTTCCTAATTTTAGACTCATATGTAGATATTTATAGCATAATTAATATTTGTGCAGGGTGGAATTCTTTTGGGGCCATCATTTTTAGGGAGGAGTGAAATTTACTGGAAAGCACTATTTCCTGCAAGACAATCTGATGTTTTGTTAGTGATGTCAATAATGGGATCTATATACTTTTTGTTCTTCGTTGCACTGAAAATGGATCTACTAATGACAGTAAGAGCTGCAAAAAGTACTTGGCTACTTGGAATAATACCTTTTGTGGCTTCTTTTTTGGTTATATCAGTGCTAGTAAAACTTTTCTATTCACCACCAAATTTCCCTACATTAATTGCATCACGTTTTTCATTAAGTGCTACAATCTCATTCACTAATTTCCCTGTCATGACTGAAGCTTTATCAGAACTTAACCTTATGGCAACTGAATTAGGTCAGCTTGCTATATCTTCAGCCTCATTCAACGATTGCATACAATTTTCTTTCATATTAGCCCACCACATCGAATCCACTGAGCAACTAAAGTTCAAAGTGTTGGCTGTGATTAGTTGCATATTGTTCACGGGTTTTTGCTTCTTTGTTTTAAAGCCATCGATGAAAATGATTGCACGCAAGACACCGTATGGGAAACAAGTGAAACAAAGTTATGTTGTGCTTATTTTTCTCGGTGTTTTAATCATGTCAGGTATAACTGACATAATCGGGGTAACTTACATGATTGGACCGTTGATGTTTGGTTTGATGATACCAAGTGGACCTCCTTTAGGAACAATATTGGTTGAAAAATGTGAAGTTATTATCTCAGATTTTTTATTACCTTTCTTCTTTGCTTATGTTGGCATGACCACAAATCTGGCTTCTCTTCGCAGCTGGAAAGACTTCTTAATTTTGCAGTTTATCATACTTGCGGGCGACATAGCCAAAGTGGTTGCTTGTGTGTTGGTTTCTATGGTATATAACATTAAGCCCAAACACGGCACAGTGCTTGGTCTCATGATGAACATCAAGGGCATAACTCACCTTATAGCTTTTACTAAATTGAAGAATATCGGGGTACGTATTAGTTTAATCAAAATCTAGGAAAAATACTCATATCATATGCTTCATGACATTGAAGTCTGTTGAATTTTATGCTTGCAGGTATTGGATGAAGATACGTTCAGTTACTTGGTGATTTGTGTGGTGATTACAACTGCAATCGTCACACCCTTGATTAAAAAACTATACAAACATCTTCATCGAGTACTAAATTCATCGAGCCTATACGATGTAAAAATGAGAACAATCCAAAACTCTTCAAAAAATTTAGAGTTTCGTGTTGTTACTTGCTTACATAACGAAATAAACGTACGTGGTATCACTGCTCTATTAGAAGTTTGCAACCCAGTTCCAGAAAGCCCGATATCTGTATACGTGATTCACCTCGTCGAACTTTTAGGAAAAAGCGCACCAATTTTGCTTCCAATCAATCACAAACAGAACAAAAAATTCCTGTCAGTTAATTACCCCGACACGAACCACATCATGCGAGCATTTGAGAATTATGCTAGCAACTCTTATGGTCCGGTTTTTGTTTTACCATATGTCAACGTTGCACCTTATAAAAGCATGCACGATGCTGTTATCAACTTAGCACAAGACAAAATGGTTCCTTTTATAATAGTCCCTTTTCACGAAAATGACCATATTGACCTCAACGAACACGTGTCAACCGCGATTCGAAAACTAAATACTAGGTTTCAAGCACATGTGCCATGCACGTTGGGAATATTGGTGGATAGATACTCACGGCTTGGAGATACTAACGACAGTGTTAAATCTTATTTTCACGTGGGAGTGTTTTTCATAGGTGGAGCTGATGACAGAGAAGCATTGGCTTTAGGAATACGAATGTCGGAGAGGGAAAACATGAAGGTGTCTTTGTTTCGGTTTGTTGTGTTGAATAGAAAAGAATATGAAAGTAAATCTCTATCCGGTATGGAAGTTTCACTAGACGAGGAAGAAGACGAGGAAATTTTGGATGAAAGTTTAATTGATGAGTTTAAGGGAATGAAGTTTGGGATTGGGAATGTTTGTTGCTACGAGGTTGTTGTGGAGGATGGAGTAGAGCTAATGACTGCAATTCGTGGTTTGGAAGGAGACTATGATCTTGTGATGGTTGGGAGGAGACATAATATTGGATCTTTGAAAGATGAGGAAATGGGAAATTTCATAGAGAATGTTCAAATATTAGGAATACTTGGAGATATGTTATCATCAACAGAATTCTGTATTGGAATGGTTCCTGTTTTGGTCACACAATGTGGTGGGGATAAAAGGGTAAGTAACAACCTTGATAGACTAGGTTCAACTAATGCCTCTCAAAGGAGTTTAATGTTTAATAAATAAATGTTTTTCTCTCTATATCTTTTAGATTTGTACATATTTTTAACTCACTCAATTTTACAAAATATCCAAATACCTCAATGGCAAGAGATAGAAAAGAAAAAAAAAAGCAAATAAAGTTTAGAAATGTTCAAATATAAAAATTGTTAAAAACAATTTAAAGGATGTTATTTTAGTTATACTGCCTTGTCTTTTTTTTTAAAGGAGGTATGTTGTCTTATTTTGGTTATAAGTATAATTATTTAATGCGATCTGATTTCATGAAAATTAATGCAAATATCTAAATATATAGTATACGACTTTATGATTTGAATGTAATTATATTCTTGCAAACAAATTAACTTCAGAGTGAAAAACTACAAATGTGTTGACAAATATAAATTGTATAAAGTAAAATACATGAAAATGAATTGAGAGAAATTTAAAGTATAAGAGATATAAATGATTTTGAAAAATAAATTGCAATAGAAAAACAAAAATAAAAATTTCCTTGAAAATAAAAATTTATATCCAATCCGTTTGACTTTGCTTGTCTACCATCTTATGAGCCTTATCCTACATTCTTAGCTTCAATTTTAAATTCCTTCTTTTTTTAAGTTTTAACCTTGAAGGATTTTCCTATTAACGTGTCAGATTCAACATCCTTCTTTAAAAATTTGTGTCTTAATTGCATTTCATAGGAGGGAAATATCCTTTTCAGGGTGCGTTTCACAACTTTGAATATATATATATATATATATATATATATATATATATATATATATATATATATATATATATATATATATATATATATATATATATATATATATATATATATATATATATATATATATATATATATATATATATATATATATATATATATATATATATATATATATATATATATATATATATATATATATATATATATATATATATATATATATATATATATATATATATATATATATATATATATATATATATATATATATATATATATATATATATATATTTTTGAAGATGTATCTCTAGACGCATATTAAATCACATAAATTTTTGTAATTTAATCATATAATTCACTTTTGTCAAAATATGTTTTGAAGTTGCATCTTCATAAATTTTCTGGGGTGTTTTCGGAGATGCATCTCTGAAATACCTTTGGTTGGTTCATGTCAGCAACATTGTCCTAACATTATAATTTTTTGAGGTCAAATCATATTAAATTAAAATCAAAATAAAATAATATTAAAGTAAAATGAAAGTAAAAAGTCACACATTAATTAAAGTAAATTCAAAATGTCAAGGCCATATATAATATTTGTTTGAAAATGCAAAAAAAATACAACTAAACATAAACTACTGTGTATATCAAACACCCTCCCCTGCTTTTCCTCTGCATGTACTGCAAGACATTATGTGCCTCAGCAATCATGTCTTCTACGATGGCCAACTGAGGACTGTATTCCTTAAAAAGTTCAGCCTCTATGCCTGATCTCCCAATATCCACAATACGGCGACAGACTGCCGCTAATGGCAACTTCAGCATGTTACAATTGCTTAAGTCAACAATTCAAGACTTCCTACTTAAACCCACAGTTCAAGACTTCCTGCTCAATCACACCAGATCGAGACTTCCCGCTCAAGCCCTCAAACATGAGACTTTCTTGCCTAAACAACCTGTTTAGGACTTCCTGTCCAATCTATATAGACCGAGGCTTCCTACTCTTCCCGCAAACATGAGACTTCAATGCTCAGCCACATTGACCGAGACTTCATGCTCTATCCGTAATCATGAGACTTCAATGCTCAATCTATCCAGAATGAGACTTACTCTGAGCGAAGAGGTTAGAGTCTTCAGATTCTCTTAACAGAAGAATCTTTTATTAACATTATGTTTACATGTGTACTTCTTAGATAAGCAGATACACAAAGGTTTACACTCTTAAGTAGAATATGATTTGTTTGCTCCTAAGTGTAGAAGAATGAAGTTTTCATTCTTCTTCTCTCCTTGCACAGATTTCCATCTTGTTGTGCCTTCATGTTATGTTGATCATATTCACATATTCTTTCTTCAGAACATATGTGAATACGTCTCACTCTACTCTCACACACTTAACCCTTCTGGTTATATTTTCTTTTTAAGTGTGTTTCTCTCAATTGTGCTTTCGGTTAAACATAGTTTCTCTCAACCCATTTATGTGAACTGGTATTACATCCTTATGAACACAGTTACACATTCTTCAACTCACATCCATTCTCTCTTGAGAGATCTCTGGGGTAAGAGCTTATGAATGTTTTCAATCTTCTTCTTTAAATAGATATTGAGAATAGATCCATTGAAGATTGAAACTACTCATGGTACAAGTAGTTGTTGAAGGTCTTTAGCTAGTGTACAATAGAGTAAGCTAAAAACTCAGCTAGCATAAAGACGTTGAGAGGAGCAGAGCATAGTTCAAAATAATTGGAGAGAGAAGATCCTAATAACATTACTTTATGTTGATTAAACATAAAGTAGTGTACCATTGTTACGTGATCTTCTTTAGATAATTTCTGACTGGAGGCTTCTTGTAGACGTTTGTTGAAGCTTGCTCAGAGTCATTGCTATATATATACTTAGCTTCTTGAATCAGAGGCTTAGGTTCATTATCTGAAATACTTGAGTTGACTCTTCAGAGTATGAAAGCTTGGTTATGATCCTTCAGATTTAGAATAACTTTGCTTCTCTTTAATGGTTATTTTGTGTGATTAACTTGATTTATATCAAGATTAATGTCTTTTAATCCTGAACACTTGAAGAACCATTAGTAAATCCTATTTTTCTTTAAATACTTTGTTATCATTAAAACCTTTTAAGGGTATGAACAAATTTTTTTCCAACATTTGACACCTTTGATGGCTTCTTGATCAATCATTTCTCTGATGGGTAGCAATTTTTCCCATGCAAGCTCAACTTTTTGCTTCTCTAGATTGTCAATCTCTTTGGTCAATTCAATAATCTTGGCATGACATTGTGAAATCTATTTGTCAAATGAAGCCTTTTTGTCTAAGTATTCTTGAAGTTAGGTTTTGAGCCTATCTTCCTTTTCAGACACGCCACTCAAGTCCTATTCTACAACCATGGCTTCTTTCATTTGTTAGAGTCAGGTGGTGTAGGTATTTTTGAGGTCGATGTCTCAGAAGACCTGGTCGAAGCAGGCTTAAAATTTGAACAAGATTTGAACCATGGACTATGAAACCCTTTGTTTATTAAGCTCAACCAACAACTTTCAAATGTTAATGCCAAGTTGAGTGTCTCCTTTCGATGGCATTGAGGAGACCAACTTCTAAGAAGTTTTCTTTTATTTGTTTGATCAATAGGTTCACCGAGTCTTCATCTATGTCAGCCAATGAAACATCAGAAGAGTGCGAAGATCTTGAGCTAGTCAAGAACATACAGAGTTTTTGAATTCTTCTCAAAGCCTCTACAAGGTTCTTCCTTTTAAGGGCAATAATTTCTTCTTGGTGTTGCACCCCAAAATTTGACCAACCTCTTTTCTTAATCTTTGGCTTATGTTTCATTGCATTTTAGCATTTTTGCATTTGCATAGCATAGTTCTTACAGGGGATCAAGTTATTTTTTGTGTCCTATCCAAGAAGAGAGCCTTATTGAACACAAGCTTAAGCAGAGGCATTGGTAAAGGTTGTTATGTGTGTGTTATCATCATGGAGATATCAGAGCTCATAGAAAGGAGAGATGTGCCGCAACATTATCAAGGAACCATCAGAAGGTTGTCAAGGGGTCCATGAAGATTTATCATTGGTAGAGGCTTGTTGAGTACCTCAGAGGTCATTGGGGAGTGGGAATGGTCACTCAACTCATCTACACATTGCCTAGGCAAAAAGGGTGAAATTAGGGTTTTACTTTTAATCAGGATACATTTTTTCGGGCGCAAGACTTGTTTCCATGGCCTTCCATATGTCCTAAGGTGTTTGGGGATGAGATATTGACCATCAATTTTAATCAGAAGAGCTTCAATTGATCAGACAATTGAAAATCAGAAGATTTGGGGAAAAATTCAACTGTAGTTTAACTTTTGATTTAAAAGGTGTTCCAATGATGAAATTATGGTCCATGAAGCTCATATGGATTATTGAAGTCCACTCAAGAAGTTTCAAGGCCTCAGAAGACCCAGAATGTCAACAATCGACTCGGTAGTCATCGATTGATCGTTTCGTTGACCAAAAGGTCAACTCCTTGACCATAAGGAATTTGACCTTAAAGTGTGAATAAAAAATGTTCCTAATGGCATATTGAACTTATACATGAAGTTTCATGACCATTGGATCAAGGTTTGAGGAGTAATCGAAAAAGTAGGGAATTAGGGTTTTGAAAGGGGCAAGACCATAATCTCCTAACTACACATCCAATTGAGGTGGTTTAAAACTTGTTAGAAAGGTCTTGACAAATCCTACAAAAGTATCACAGGGGTCCATGTGCAAAAAATGAGTAGATTAAGAGTTATGATCAAAATCATTACAAGAGGGAGAAAACACTTAGAAAAATTCTAAGTTTTTGGCCTTGCAAATCATGTTTTCAGCCAACTTTGAGGAGATTTTTGACCTAGTTCCACTTGGAATCTGAAGATCATGTAAACATGAAAGTTGTAGATCTACATGAGGGCTTTCCAAAAAGTACTAGAACTCCTCTATATCCCTTATGAGTTGAGAGTTATGAATCCAGCAAGTTGGGGTCTCCACAATTGAATGCACCATTTCAACTTTTCCACAAATTCACTTTTCAGCCACTTGGAACATTCTCAACCATTTGATCATGTCTTAATCTGATATTTAGAGAGGATGATGGTTAGAAAATGCAGAAATAATGAGGTTTTGAGAGCTTTGCAAGTTGGCAAGCAAGTTGACATTATTATATTCAAGAAAAACCATAAGAAAGAGAAACTTTTTGAAGAGAAGCTCGCAACTGCAGTCCCCTACACACTAGCCTCACTTCAGTCACCTCATGCCCTTTATTTCAC